TCCTCCAGTCTCCCCCCATCCACCAGGGGTTCTGTGTGCCCCCATGACCCCTTTTCCCTCCCCCCAAAGGTCCCTCATTCTCTCTTCCATGCCAGGGGTTCTGTTCCCCCCACGTTCCCCTCCCCTCACAGCAAGGTCCCATGCCAGGGGCTCTGTGTGTCTTCCCTCTCCTCTCCCTCCACAAAGCACCTGTCTTCCCTCCCCCGCCCATTGGAAGGGAGGGTTGGACAGCCGGTGCCCTCTCTCCCTAAGCTGGAGCAGGCTTTGAGGAGGCAGGACTTTAGGAAGGAAGGGATGAAGAAAGCCTCCTTCTCTCTCCTCTCCCTCTGGCTGCCCCTGCTGGCTGCCTGTCCACCCCACAGGGAGAGCAATTATTTCTCCTCTGTATTCAGGGTGTCAAGATGTTAAACGCTGATGGGAGGGTGAGCAGGGGTATTGTCATGCTGCAAGATGGTAGTGGGTGCTACCCACAGGTGATAGACGCTCCAAGTGTTCCCCATTGTCCCTCTATAGATGTTCTGATCATCCCCAGAATCAACAGAGGTCTGGCCATTGAGGCCAGGAACATTCCCCGAAATGCTGGCCTGGATCAGAAGTGGTGTTCAAAAGTTATTGTGTTACAGATAAACAAACCAAGAAATGCTGTTGAGTGTAAGGCCTTGCAATCTCAGCCAACTACCCTTCCCCAGAAATGTCCTCCACCCACTTTACCCCATTCTCCTCCCACCCCCAAAAGACACCCTCCCTGCTCTGCAGAGCCTCACCCAGCAACCCAGAGACTGCAATCTCTGTCCCCGCATAGTGCCCCATGGTGTCCCTCCCCTCCCCTCCCCGATGCGCTCCCCTCACCCCGCAGTGATGCCCCAGAGGTTTGCAGCCACCAGAAGAAGCAGAGCTAGTAGCTAGGGCCGGGGCTTTCTCTACACTAGAGAAGGCAGCATTGCAGTCTATTGTTCCACTGCTCACAGAGCTCCAGCTGTGCCAGTGTGATGCATGCGTCCAATTCAGGCTAGCCCAGGTCTTACCCCCACAACATCTGGGGGTAAGTTACCTCAAGTTCTGCCTCCTTAGCAATCGTCTGACTCTTTTGAGCATGGATGCGAGGTGTTCTTCTGCAGGTTGGGAGGGAAACTGTCAGTGTAACCTGGCTAATGCAGACATGGTCTCTGGAAGGTGGGATGGGGAGGAAAGGCAGAACTCCTCCTTGTCACACCTCTCCCACTTGTCACTGGGAGCACAAGAATAGTTTGGCAGCTGGGGTGAAGGTTGAGGGCCTTGTCCCGAGGTGGGGAGGGGATCTGACAGCTGAATGGTTGTTGGAGCTGCCCACTGACAATAGAGGGAGTGCCCACTGGTGACATCCACTGGCCCTTTACCCCCCCCTCCTTCACTGTAGCACCCCACCTCCATCTTGCATGTGCTCCTGCAGGAGGATGTCATGGAGGGTAGCTCAGCCCTGAGCTATACAGCCCACCCTGGCTTGTGCATTATTAATCAGGTTTTTTCCCCTTGTAGAAAACCTGGACTGTGTCATTTCCTGTGAAAGCCAAGCCTGTAAGGGACCGAAACTGCCAGAAGAAGATGATCTTGTACTGGCCACATGCCCACACGTGAATGGCGCCCTGAAGCATGCTGGGCCAGCAGGAAAAGGAGATTTCTCAAAGAGGAAGCCAGTCTTCCAAGGTGGGGCAGGAAGTGATGTCATAAATGATCTGGAGAAACGGGTAAACAGTGAGGTGGCAAAGTTTGCAGATGATACTAAACTGCTAAAGATAGTTAAAACCAAAGCAGACTGTGAAGAACTTCAAAAAGATCTCACAAAACTAAGTGATTGGGCAACAAAATGGCAAATGAAATTCAATGTGGATAAATGTAAAGTAATGCACATTGGAAAAAATAACCCCAACTATACATACAATATGATGGGGGCTAATTTAGCTACAACAAGTCAGGAAAAAGATTTTGGAGTCATCGTGGCTAGTTCTCTGAAAATGTCCACGCAGTGTGCAGAGGCGGTCAAAAAAGCAAACAGGATGTTAGGAATCATTAAAAAGGGGATAGAGAATAAGACTGGGAATATATTATTGCCCTTATATAAATTGATGGTACGCCCACATCTCGAATACTGCGTACAGATGTGGTCTTCTTATCTCAAAAAAGATATACTGGCACTAAAAAAGGTTCAGAAAAGGGCAACTAAAATGATTAAGGGTTTGGAACGGGTCCCATATGAGGAGAGATTAAAGAGGCTAGGACTCTTCAGCTTGGAAAAGAGGAGACTAAGGGGGGATATGATAGAGGTATATAAAATCATGAGTGATGTGGAGAAAGTGGATAAGGAAAAGTTATTTACTTATTCCCATAATACAAGAACTAGGGGTCATCAAATGAAATTAATAGGCAGCAGGTTTAAAACAAATAAAAGGAAGTTCTTCTTCACGCAGCGCACAGTCAACTTGTGGAACTCCTTACCTGAGGAGGATATGAAGGCTAGGACTATAACAGAGTTTAAAAGAGAACTGGATAAATTCATGGTGGTAAAGTCCATTAATGGCTATTAGCCAGGACGGGTAAGGAATAGTGTCCCTAGCCTCTGTCTGTCAGAGGGTGGAGATGGATGGCAGGAGAGAGATCACTTGATCATTGCCTATTAGGTTCACTCCCTCTGGGGCACCTGGCATTGGCCACTGTCGGTAGACAGGATACTGGGCTAGATGGACCTTTGGTCTGACCCGGTACGGCCTTTCTTATGTTCTTATGTTCTTATTATGTTCATTGAGCTCTCTGTTCTCTCAGCCGGCAACGAAGAACGTGACCATGGCTTTCCACTACCAGCAACAGAGCTGGGGGCCACTGTCCTGGTGACCACAAAGACCACTCAGAATAACTGCACCACTGAGGAGAGACCATGACAGCAGGCAAAATAGGGCTGGTTCTAGCTGGTTGCCCACTGAAAGTGACAAAAATCCCTTCATTTGGGTGGATAAGCTGTTGCATGGAAATGACTTGAATCAGAACGAGACTTTTGCCTTAAATGAGGTCAGCCTCCTATGCCTTTTGCCTTTTATGTAACCCTTCTGCCAGGCCGAGTTGATAGCAGCAAGGGCCGGGTTCAGTACATAGGGGTCCCCTCCCAACAGCGTAACACAAAACCAGCTCGAGCCCCCACCCAGTGACCTGGGAAAATCTTACACACACCCCTGGGCGCCTCGAAGAGGCAATACTTCCCCTCTCGCAAGCACAGAGACTCGGTGTAGCAGAAAATGTTTAATAACATGAGGTAAACGACATAGCATTAAATTGGGAAAACACCACAACTAGAGTTCATAGACCAAACCATGAGCGAAGACCCACCCCAGCAAATTGGGCCGTGTCCTTTCTCGTTGGTTCTTGAAACCAGCAACCCAAAAATCACCCAAAGTCCCAAAAGTCCAACAACCTCCAAAGTCTCTGTCCCTGGTCAGTGCAGACCCAGAGTTCAAAGGGGGGCGCGCAGGGTGTTAAGGGGCACCTTACGTGATCCGAGGCCGACCGGCCGCCTCTCCGTGGGGTTCCGCCGCAGCCTTCACCACAAGCCGCTCCACTCCACCAGCCGTCCCGTGAGCCGCTCCTGCCGTCCCACGAACTGCTCTGCTCTACCAGCTGCTCCGTTCCCCGAACCATGAGCCGCTCCAGCCGTCCCCACAAACGGCTCTGCTCCGCTCGCCGTTCCTTGGGTCACTCCAGCCGTCCCCGCAAGGCTCCGCTCTGCTAGCTGCTCCTCCAGCCGTCCCCGCAAACTGTTCCACCAGCCACTTAGCAATTTAGCTTCAGGCTCCCCCACTAGTTAACACAGCACTCAGTGATCTCAGCTCTTAGTAACTTTAGCTCTTTTGTGATTTTAGCTAGTAGTAGGGGAGCCCTAGTGCTGGTGCATTATTGGCCCAAAGTGAATTCAGCTCAGCAGCCTGTAACTAGACTCCTAATGGAATCAAAGTTAGCTCTGACATTCAACAGTGGAGAGAGGAGGAGGTGCAATTGGTGTTTCAGGCTCACAAAAGGCACCCACACCACCAGGTACAAATACCCACCCCCAACCTCTCTCAATTCACTAGGTTTTGTAACCCATGCCTCTTGTCAAGCGAGTGCTACTTAGTTAATGGTGAGTCCGTCTGTCATACAACAGTTCCACTGGCCTTGATTCACAGAATCGGGGTAACAAAACTTTATTCTTCCTGCCCCAATAACAGAGAAACTGGGGATCCCACACCAGCCAAAGTAACCACTTTCAGTTGCTGTTGTCTCATGCCAGGCGGGTGGGTGTGCCTATGCAAACAAGATCAGCTCCTGGAGTTCTTTTCCACACTTGCCATAATTTACCACCAGATGTCAGGGTAGAGGTCATCCTGACTCTGCTTACATTTATATTTCCCCTTTCACATGGTGGTTGAAGCCAGGAAGTCCCAGTTACTCCCCTAACCAGTGGAGGATACTTGAGTCAATTGTATTGTCCCTGGTCCGTGAGCTCTGTAGCTGGAGAAGCTAGAAGAGAGATGGCACGTGAGGAAAAGTGATTGTTCAGAGCCAACATACCAACTGCATGATTGCTGCACCGCTAGGCACTGGTGAACTAGCGTCCATATTTTAAGGGGATGGGGTGTGTTGTGTGGGTGCAGAGAGGGAGTCCTAGGAAGAGTGGAAAGGGTAAAAAGGAAGAACAGGGTGAAAGTTTAAATGGAAGGTAGGATTTCTGTAGGCCCTGATCCTGCACAACTGAAATCAATGGGGGTTTTGCCATTGGCATCAATGGGAGCGGGGTTGGGTCCTTAGTGCTGGTACAATGCTATGTTCTGTGGGGCCCTGTGCAAAGTAAGATAGGCCGGGCCCCATCCAGCTTCCATTCAACTTACAGTCAAGTCCGCCAAGCATCAGAGGGCCCATAACATACACACACAGACACCTCCTTCCTGTGACCACTTCACACTGTGGCAAACCCCCTGCCAAGGCTCTGCAGCTCTGCGAATCCCCTTGCAGGGTCTGGGAAGCCAGGAGGTGGAGCTGAAATGCATCTTCCCAAGCAAAGAATGAGGGAAGGAAATCTCTGCAGTGACCAACTGGCCCTGGAATCAGCCAGGACCATGGACAGAGAATTGGGGCTCTCACTGTGGCGGGCACTTGGGATGTGTGTGTACGTCCCATTGACCACCAGTGCTTTAGTTCATGTTTCGTACATGTAGGAAATACTACATGTATCATGACAACAGGAATTATAATAATAGATATTTTTAGCGTGATGGGAGGGTGAGGGGGAATATTTAGCTTATAACTGATGTTTCTGTAAGGATTTGTCTACATGGGGAAATTGACCAGCATAGCTATTCCAAATAACAACTTATGTGGACACTCTGTTCTGAAATAAAAGTGACTTTAATCCAGAATAGTTGCTAGAGAGAATTGAAGAAGCTGTTACAGGGAACAAAAGCCTGAATTCCTTGCTGCAACTGGTGTCTCAGACTTTCTCACAGCAGTCCTGACAGGGTAAGAGAGCAAAGCGCTTTAACTAAAATACATCTTCACCTGGCTGGTGGTGTAAAGGTTAGTGCTTAACATGGCTATGCAGGTGACCTGGATTCAAGTCCCAGTCTCTCATTCCCTCATGGCTGGGAGTGCTGCAGAAACTGGGCTAAGTGCTCAGCAGCTTCTTCATGGGAAGCCCACATTCGATTGCCTGTCTATGGTGGTGCGTAGGGTAGGTGTAGCTACAGGCCACAGTGCAAGGCAGGCTGCAGCCACAATAGTCACTGCGGTGTGTAGATACAAACCACAGTGAAAGGCTCTGGCAGTGGAGAGCTGCCGGAGCCTTTCCCCACTGCCAGAGCTTTGCACTATGGCAGTGGAAGGCTCTGGCAGTGGGGAGGCAATGGGACACTATATAGCAGCACAGACGTGGTGAGAGGCACTGCTTGGGCATGTGGGGAGATGTGTAGGGTACATTCCCTAGTGCTCAGATGTGTGGGGTGCTGCACTCTACTCACCTAAGCCGTGCCTCACTGTCAACACCGCTGCTTAAACCCATACTAGCAGGGCATACAGTGTCTCTACAGGCCGCCCTAAGTGTAGACGTACCTTCAGCATCTCGTTGTCTCAGTCTGGAAAGGCTGTAGAGGCATTGGCACCCAGGCAATCCTTGTGTCACTTAACCGTGGTTGCTGTAGCCCTTGCAGGGGCAGCAGTGACTACCTCTGAAGGGAAGACCCCCTCATCATCAAACGGGGTGCTTAATCTTTGTGTCCCAAGACCTCCAGTTGCTGCCATTCACAACAGCTCCTCCTCAGATACTATCCCAAAATCCTTTGCACCACTTTCTATAATGTTTTCAAGGGAAGCACTGTTGAAATTAACCAAATGGTTTATGGGGCATTCCTGGCATTTGGTCCTGAGTGACAGAGCAAATCTGCTTCACTGGAAAACTGGAGAGTGAAAGGAGGCAGGATTGCAAACATATCTTCTCCCTCCCATTTCCTCTCTGCCTGTGACTGCCAGGTTGAGAATTGCTGATGTAGACACGGGACCATCTCCAAAAGGAAAGAAGTTAAAAAAAATCCTAAAACGTAGAGATGGAAAAGGCCTAGTCATAGATTCCAAGAGCAGAAGGGACATTTGTGATCATCTAGTCTGACTTCCTGTATAATGCAGGCCTTAGAACTTCCCCAAAATAATTCCTAGAGCAGTTCTTTTAGGAAAACATCCGCTCTTGATTTAAAAATTGTCAGTGATGGAGAATCCACCACAACCCTTGGTAAATTGTTCCAATGATTAATTACTCTGACTGTTAAAAAATTATGCCTATTTCTAGTGTGAATTTGTCTAGCTTCAACATCCAGCCATTGGATTGTGCTATACCTTTCTCTGCCAGATGGAAGAGCCCATTATTAAATATTTGTTCCTCATGTGGGTAATTATAGACTGCAGTCAAGTCATCCCCTAACCTTCTCTTTGGTAAGCTAAATAGATTGAGCTCCTTGAGTCTATCACTATAAGGCAAGTTTTCTAATCCTCTAATCATTCTCGTGCCTCTTCTCTGAACCCTCTCCAATTTATCAACATCCTTCTTGACTTGTGGAAACCAGAACTGGACACAGTATTCCAGCAGCAGTCACACCCAGTGCCAAATACAAAGGTAAAATAACCTCTCTACACCTACTTGAGATTCCCCTGTTTATGCATCCCAGGATCGCATTAGCTCTTTTGGCCACAGCATCACACTGGGAGCTCATGTTCAGCTGTCATCCACTATGACCCCCAAATCTTTTTCAGATTTTCAAAATCTTTTGTCACTGCTTCCCATAACAAAGTCCCCCATCATGTAAGCATGGCCTACAATCTTTGATCCTACATGTATACATTTACATTTAGCTATATTAAAATGAGTATTGTTTGCTTGCACCCAATTTGCCAAGTGATCCAGATCACCCTGAATCAGTAATGTGTCCTCTGTACAAGTGGATGAGCCCATCTTGCGCCAGGGCAAGATTCTTCCCCACATTACATTTCTCAGTGGCTTGTCCAGTCTAGCTTGAAAGGCTGCAAGTGATAAGGTATCCACCATCTTATCTAAAACCAGAGTGAAACATCCCTCTTGTGAGATGCAACTAAGCTATGAATATCAGAGGTTCATGCAGGCACCATTTCAATCCATACTGGATTTTTCTGAGGCAAGTAGTAACCTACCTTTTTTTAATAGGTTCCCCCCCTGCTACTCTGAGCCAGTGATGGGTGAGAACAGATCAGTATTAATTCCCCGCTCATGGGTGGGGTTAGGGGAATTTATCTCATTGCTGAAATACTCTTTGTAGATGCTTCTTGTTCCTTATTTTCAGTGCATGGGACTGACTGGGTCTGCCCATTGCCTGTGCATGGGGAGAATGGGGAG